AAAAGTTAGTTAGTTGATGGCTTAAGTTCTTACTATTGTGGCCCACACCATTTATCATTTATCAATTGGGTTGTTTTTTGAACATGACTCACGGCTAAAGAATGAAGATCCCCCGCTCACAGGAAACGTGACTCGCTAGGGCTTCCCTAATTTACACAAAAAACAATTTATCTGCCAGGCCCACCCTGACCAACATCAAAAGTAAATGCATTTGGAAAGTGTCAGGGGAATGGAACTGTGGCAGATACCGAGGACGGAGGACGGACCACATGACAGATATGTCCTACTATGGCCTCCGTCGGGGTTGCTTATCGTGGGTTGCATGCGTCAGTGACAAACTAAAACTCTAAAACTCCTCCTTTGGCAATACACATTGAAAATCGTCCTGTTATATTTTAATTTCATGTTTTCATTTTAAATAAACTAGGTAAAATGTCGATTTATTTGCAAAATATATAAGATATACACATAGCTCCGAAAATAAACTATTAAGGCAGTTTGTTTTGGGGGCCTGTAAGCTTATCATATCAGCTTCTAATATCATCCAAAAATGTCGACCATTATTCGACAAAGAACTTTTTTTTAAGTGTAGATCTAGCACTGTTCCTATGCTGGATTAATGTGGGCCCGTCTGTCTGCATTTTGGGTGCGGCTGACTGGCTGCATTCTCCGGCTGTGCGGCTTTCTCTGGAGGTTATGCCGGGAATTAGACCCATTGACTCATTCTAGGGCTGCGCCCAGGTCCAAACCCAAACCCACTGCTGGCCAACTAGTCGCGACTAGGCAATCAAAATCGACATTTAGTTTTACGGCGAGTCTAACAACAACAGCGGCAGCAGTCGAACATGCAATGTGTCCAGAGTTCAATGCACTTGCCACTCAGCCTCAAACTTCGCTGCAGTGGCTACTTGGCCAGATACACAGGCATACTCGCAGATCGCGTGACTATAGTTAAATATAGTTAAGCACCGAGTATGGCACGTGACGATATTGGGGCAGAAAGTATCCCCCATTTCGTGGACATGGGATATACCGGGAAAACTACAATTTGGGAGGCCGGTGGGCAGGAGTATGCCCTTAATCACTGGCCACCACTGTGGCAGGCAGGCGAAGAAGAAACGAGAACGCCATCGATTTCAATTGCAATTACTCATCATCTATCGCGGCAATTACCCGTATTATGATGATAAGTGCGAACCGAAACAGCTGCTGGGAGATTTTAATGTGACTCAAGGAGGCGATTTGGAGCAGTATTTTCTTGTTTAGCTTCTTTACTCATGGAACCCGGAACATCAGCAAAGGTCAAGAACGGGAAAGCTGGTGCTATTTTTAAGACCATATGTGTTCAAAAATAGCTACGGAATCGGCCTGTTTAATGGAATTTAAGGATTATAAATAGTTAACAATTTTTAGGGTTCTGGTACTACAAATTCCCAAACTATTTTTAATCAATATTGATTTAAATCAGCCAGTTCATTTTGACCAAATTCAATTCAAAAATTTATCTATAAGCTCGTTTTTTGTTTGTCTATATAATTAGAAAAGGAATATATTTATTTATATGGGCATAGAGAAATATAATTTATATGGCCTTTTAATTGTTTAAGTTTACAGACTATAACAGTTTTTATGTACTAGACGATTTAGAAAAGAGTGTTTATTTACAAGATAAACACGAATATTTTTGTATATCGCCATGTAATAAACTCTTTATTGATCGTAACATAATCTTAATATTGTAGAAATTGGATTATTAATATGTTTGTAGAGAAAACTACAAATACGACCACCTAGAATATCGCAGTGTTAAACAAATTTGTTTATATTAAACTTAATTCACTAAACGGTTAATGATATTTTAATAGGTCCAAAGTTTCGAGTGAGCTCTGTACAGTTTTCTATCCGATTTTCGTCTACTTCAGCTATTTTCCCCAGCTGGTAGCTCTATAATGGAGTGATGACCAATTTGAAAACTGGCACAGAGAACGAAGACACAAAAACAAGCGCCACTTTGGTTGCAGTCATAAAAGCGACAGTGGTGCGGGGTGGGTTAGGGTTCGAGATGTCCATCGGGTGATATATGCTATTGAGGGTGGGGGGTGGGGGAAGGAAAACTAGCACACTTGCTGACATTGCAGTGTGCACTTAACTAGAACCACCACTGTGCACCAAAGCACAAACGCACACAATCATACATATGTATGCTTATGCATGTACTAACTGCTAAAAATGGTAAATTTTCCCCAGTTGCAGCTGAAATAAAGTCCTTTTAACAGCGGGGGTTACACATATATCAAATATCGGTTGTTAAGGGCGTTTTCTGACGAGTCCATGACAAAAAGGGAGATGGAGTAACAACCTCAAATCGAATAGGAAAACTCTCCGATCCAAAAGAACAGTTAACCCATTAAAAGATCAATACGCGCATAGTGCAAATTGGGAGGCGAAAGCGGAGAAGGAATTCGGAACGGAAATGGGGGATAGAGTTAATGGAGGAAGCACACAAAAAAGCAACGGAACGATAAGAAAAATAAATAAGAGAGCCTAAGAACGGCACTAAGCGTTGTTACTGGAAATCTGCAAATCCTAACCAATACGAGTGCAAACGCCTACACACACACACTCGGATTATTTAAAAAAATGCCGGTAACTGCTCGGATTTACTTACTTGCTGCTGGCCTGATTATCGGTACAATCAAAGTTGGAGATCATCCTGCTGTTTAGCCGTAATTTGACGCTTGATAACAATTAAATAAAACTGGCACACACGCGATGACGTGAAACACACAAAATGCAAGTGGGAAATGCACACAAAACGGAGAATAAGAGTCCAAGAGCAGATGCCGCGGCACGTTCGTTCAGTTCGAAAGGCGAAATAAGTGTGGCCGTCACTGAGCCGCTAGGCCACACCGTCTGCTCAGAAAAAAAGACCTAAAAAATGCCACAGCGGCAGGGCCGGAGCAGGAAAGTACTTATAGGGGACTTTACATATTTAATTCCGAAAATCTCCGTTGCTAATTATTATTGTACAATATATCATATATCCATTTTGTATCATATCCATTTTTTTACTTTCCTCTTAGAGTTTTTTTGTTTTTTGTTAGATCTAGAATAAAAAATTGTTTATAAGTAATGATCGTTAACATAATTAGATTCTTAGTAAATAACACGATCTGTCAATTTGTTTGTACAAATAATTTGAGTTCAAAAATATTATCAAGCTATAGATTGACTTAAATAAGAAATTCTGTTTATTTATTTAAAGTATTTTTAATTTGTATAAAACTGGAAAAATAACAGTTAAAAAACCGGTATTTTCTATTAATCTCTACTGGTATATTTTCACACATTAGTTACGGTCACACAGATTAATATAATGTTAGATTTGTTGTTTTGTTTACTGCCAATTTGATTTTAAAAATATTGGCTAACTGCCGACTTGCATCCAATTTCTGGCCAGGATGAATATCACCAGCTCCCCAAAGGTGTTGATGAAGTGTCGGATTTGCCTAGGCGATTCTGAGGAGCAGACAATGAGTGCTCTGTTTGACGAGGAGGCTGAAAACGATGACCCGCTGAACGAGAAGGTTGAGTTCTGCTGCGGCATAAAGGTGAGAAGAACATCAAAATTAGTTATATGTCACGCTTTACCACTCCAATTACCTGCAGGTTCGTCAATCTGCCAAGATGCCAGCCAAGGCCTGCCACAGCTGTACCGAATTCGTTCAAATGTGGTGCAACTTCCGTCAGATGTGCCTGAACTCACAGGTGTACTGGGAAACAAGTTTTCCTGATTCGGAGAGACCGGAGGATTTGCTTCAAGCCAGCGATGGCGAGTACATGGAGTATCTGTACGAAAAACTGCAGCTGAATTCGGGCCCTGAAAACAATTACCAGGAGGAGATCAGCCAAACGACAGAGGAGGAGCAACAACTGGAGGATCACGTACAGGAAGTGCTCGACGTCAACGGGTACATTATGGACGGACAAATCGAAGAGGAAAATGAGACCGTTAAGGACAGTTCTGAACAAATGTTGATTTCCCACCTGGACGCATACGTTAATAATCCAGAAATGGAAGAAACCATTGAAGATAAGGATGAGCTTGTAGAGGATTCTTCCCTTCTAAACGAGGAGTACTATGAGGTCGACTACGAAGAACTCCACGAAGATGATTTTATTTCAACCTCACCTTCTCCGGATCCCAGCCCAAAAGAGGACCCACGCAATTCAGGACGGTTCCGCAAACTGGGAAGGCCCCGCAAGCCGGACAGCGAACTTAAGTTCAAGCGGAAGGAGATCAGCGCACAGGGAAAGGCGACCAAGTCAAAGATAGAGGACAAATTAGTGTGCAATCTGTGTGGCAACGTCTTTTACAAGAAATCCATGTTCACAGCTCATTTGATGACACATTCGGAATATAAACCACACCAATGCGAGTAGGTCGAAAGTGTATAAGTTTTCTATTTGATTTCCGTTGAGAAAATATATATGTGTTTTTATTTCAGAATCTGCAACAAAGCCTTTCGACAAATGGGCGAGCTGCGAGCCCACATTCGTCGTCATACGGGCGTTCGCCCTTACAAATGTATGTACTGCGACCGCCACTTCTATGACCGGAGCGAAAGGGTTCGCCATGAGCGGGTACACACAAATACTCGTCCTTACGCCTGTCAGGAGTGCGGCAAGACCTTCACACACACGGCCATCCTCAAGAATCACCTCCTGGTGCACTCCGGCGAGAAAAACTACAAGTAAGAAGGAATACTCCCCGAGTTACCTATATTCAAATAGCTAATGATTTCCGTCCTTCAGCTGTGACATATGCTCCAAGTCATTCACCCTGCTGCATCAATTGAAGGCTCATTTGCAGACCCTCACCCACCGCAACAAATTGGAGAGCTCCATACCCAACTCCACGGACTTCACGCAGAGCTAATGCTCTGCCACTACTTTCTAATTTAAGTTAGCTACAAGTATTTCAGGCTACAAAACAGACAGGCTTTTCATAGATTTTTATTTTTTAGCTATTCCATCATGTCGCTGTCTTCGATAACTGACGTCACACCTAGATAGTGCGCATTCGTCTTCTCGTGCGCCGTGAGCTGGTGTTTCAGGCGAAAAGCCTTGTCGCAAGTGAGGCACTTGTGGGGCTTATCAGCACTGTGCAGGAGGTAGTGGGCCTTGCGGGAGGTGGAAAGTGAAAAGGTTTTTCCGCAAATGTTGCAAGCATAAGGTCTTTCATTCGTGTGCGTGCTAGAAAGAAGGATATCAAAATGAGTACATATTAAAAATAGTTATAGTTTGAAGAGCTTAGGTTTTTTTTTTAACTATTACTATTAGAGCAAATTAAAGCAGAGGAAAATTTGTTAGAAATAAATTGGCCACAAGTAAAAAGCTTTGCACACGTTGCAATTTGTGTGTTTTAATGGTAAAAATGATCAGGTTGAGTATGGTACCATACCGTTCGTGTTTGCGATGAGTGCTGCAATCAGTAAATCGGCGAGTACAATATGAACATTTATAGGGCTTTTCACCGGTGTGTGTTCGCATATGAGTTTTCAGGTTGCATGCCGCTCTGAATGTCTTTCGGCAAACCCTAAAGCAAACAATTTATAAAATCCTGATTTTATAGATTTTTTTTTTTGGATACATACTCGCACTCGTGGCCCTTCTCATTACGGTGAAATGTCATGTGTACTTTGAGCTGTGAGAGATATGCGTATGAATTGTGGCATATCCTGCATCTATACTTGTCAGGCACACAGACCACACCTAGATCAACATTGTATTCTGGGGCTTGCTCTGATTTCTGGGACTCCTCACTGGTCTCCTGCATGCTGTCTATAACGACGGTTTCGTCCTGCGATGAGCTTTCCAAGTCATTGTCATCTATGCTGTCCTTGACTGAACCACTGATGGTGTAGTCTTCCGGGATTGTGGGTTTCTCTCTATCCGTATTGACGTTTAAAACGTAAACGAAGTGTCCTGCCTCCTCCGGGGATGGGTGTTTTTTTGTGGGTACAGATTCCACTGATTTGGCTTTCGTTTCCTGGCTTTCCTGACTTTCGTCAGTCTTGATGACTAGGGGCTTCTCTTCCATGAGTCTCTCTGAAATGTTCTGCTTTCTGGCACGCTTTCTCTGACCAACAGGCGGATCCTTATTTTCAATGGTCTGAAAAGCCGCTGCCGAGGACATGGTTTGGCGGACTAAACTTCTCAGGTGCTCGTCGGACCTTTTGCATTCGCGCAGGAATCGATCTACGTCCTCCAGCCTGTCCATACAATCCGAGCAAATCTGATCTGGCAATCCATCATCCGGCTCCACCTGGCAATGAGTATCACACATATTTATTAAACACAAAAATAATCTGAAATTGTCATGAACCCACAACTATGCCTGCATATAAGAGCAACTGCTTGTGGGCCTCGGACTTAAAGAGGGACTGCAGCATTAAGCCTTTCTTGGCGGTGCAAGTGCGGCACATGCTCCACTTAATGCTGATTTCCATTGTTTTGTTTGTTTCAGAAATTCCTCCTTGGTATCCGTCAAATTCCGATTCAAATGCCAGAGCTGGGCATTGAAAAAATTAGGGTTGTCAAGTACGCGATATTAGTATCCACAATATCGATTGCTTTAAACTATCGATCAGACTTTTATTATTAGGAATTAATTTTTTAACCATTTTTATTGCTGTATAAAACAAATGTAAGCAAATACTATTTAATGAATGTAATAATTAATATAATTATGTAATATTTATAATGTATACGAACTTAAATTAAATTTATGTTTGGTTGTCCGAATACTTTTGCATTTCAATGCGGTGTTCTTTAAAAATGTCTTACGTCGATAAGAATTCGATAACTGTGCAGCCTTTGACACTTTTGACAACCCTGGGAAAAGTTTCAAGACGCTTGTTTATTTCACTGATTTGCAGACATACGGACGGCCAGGACAAGCAAAATCATGCCCGAGTACATGCTGTGCAGGATCTGCTTGACAGAGGACATCAACTCGGAGGCGATGGCGCCACTGTTCGACGACGACGATGCCCAGTGCCGGGAGCTGGTGCGCAAGATTGAGGAAGTGGGCAGCATAAAGGTACATGTGGTGGAAGGTGCACCTGTGACCCGAACTCTGCGGCTAATCCCGCTCTGATTTTCCAGCTGGTGCCGCTGCAGAACATTCCGAGCATGCTGTGCTACAGCTGCGTGGAGCGGCTGACAAGCGCCCACAAGTTCCGGGAGCTGTGCCAGGAGAGCGAGCGGACGTTTGCCACCAATGTTGTCAAGGTGCATCCCTCTAGGGCCACCCAAAGCTCCCGCATTAAACTATAAACTATTCCTCTCTCCAGGCAGAGATGAAGTCGGAGCCAACGGACGAGGTGCCACACATAGTGGCGGACCACATCGAGTACATCTACGAGTCGGCCAACGACTTCATCGATGGCGTCGAGGAGGACATCGAGATGGAGAACATGATGGAGGAGCGACTGGAGGACGGCGTTGCGGAGATCACTCAGCCTTATGACATCAACAATGTGGTGGACGAACTGGACGAGAACGACCTGCTGGTGCCGAACAGCACCGATAGCGACTACGAGCCCACTGAGCACTGCCGCAAACCCAAGGTGCGGAAGTCTCGGATGAGTAAACGTGGTCGTGGACGACCACGCGGATCTGGCTCCGGACATGCACGCAGTCTCAGCCAGGAGCGCCCATCAGTGCAATCGAGCTGCAAGTCCTCGCCCGAGGAGTCCTCCACAAACATCATGTGCGAGATTTGCGGCAATATCTACTCCAAGCGGGCGGCGCTAAACATTCATATGCGTCGCCATATGGCCGAAAAGCCATTTGAATGCGAGTGGGTATTCGGTAGGGTTTTGCATGAATGCATTCAAAGGGTTTTAAAAATGAATACATGTTTGTATACTTATTGAGAAATTGTAACTTGAATGCTCTCGTACAGAACTCTGCTATAAAAATGCAACAAATCTGATTTAATAATAATAATGTAATTGATATTCCCTCACAGAATCTGCGGCAAAACATTTGCAGGCCCATCCGAGCTTAATCGCCACATTCGAGTGCACACGGGCGAAAAGCCCTTTACATGTAAATACTGCAACCGTTCATTTGCTGACCGCAGCTCTAATATACGCCATGAGAGGTAAGACGTCCATTTCCCCGAAATAAGTCCATTGCTAACTGAATTATCTTCCAGAACCCACACGAATGAGAGGCCTTTTACCTGCTCCACCTGCGGAAAGTCATTCTCCTACTCCAATGTGCTAAAGAACCATATGCTTACCCACACGGGAGAGAAACCCTTCCTGTAGCTTACTCACGAATTTGTTCAAGCCTGCTTAATCTAAAGTTCGTTGCATTTTTAGATGCCGGCCGTGCAATAAGACCTTCTCCCGCAAGCACCAGCTGGAGCAGCATATCGGCACGATGACCCACCAACAGACTGTTAGGAACCACCAGAATAACGAACCGATGCGGCACTCAGAGATCTACTAGTCCTAAAACTTGCAATTAACATTTTTATAGATAATTTAATTATAAATATATATTGTATAAATAAAAAGAGTACAAATGGTCCGACCAGGATGTGTAACAAATTATCTTTCTGGTTTGAAACGTTATCTGTAAGACTCTAATATAATTTGTAATTGTACACAAATTGGGCAAAAAAAAAAACATTTTTAAGAGCACATATATTTTTATTAAAATATGTAAATTGACAAATTTTAAAGATTAAATATTTGTTTTTAACATCAATAAAAGCCATATAGCATTGTTTTTGGTTAAGCAATAAATCAATTTCTGTAAAAGGTTTACCGTGTTTTATTAGTACATTTTTAAAAAATTTACTTCTGTTAAAAAACACATTTAAAGGCAGTACATAATATAAGCTATTATTTCATATTATATATTTTTTAATTGTTTTCAGAAAAAATATAAGATTTATATGTGTTTAATGGATTTGGGTTGGCAATAAATACGCATTTAAAAGCAGTACATTATATTAATATTTTTTTGTAATTATTTTTTTTTTAATTTCTCGATTAAACACCAATAAATGTCATGGAAGGATTCAGTTGTGTTCGAAAATATATTTCTTTATGCAGTTTTTACTTTTGTTGGAAGCTAAAGTTTGACAAAAAATCGACTGTTTTTAACATCAATAAATGCCATACAACAATGGATTAATAATGGCACTGGATTAAGTATGTGTATACTTGAAGTTTTATCTTCTCAAAAGACTCGGAATATTTTTGTTAAGATTAGGTTTTAAACTCATATAGGTTCTTACGAATAGGTAGTATAAAGGGGGCTACAAAATAATGACTAGCTACGCTATTATAATAGACTCTGGGCTTTTTCCTTGTGAACGGTGCTGGAGAAGTGAAGCATCAGTTGGGAGATCCGCTGGAAGTGCTTCTGACAAACGTAGCAACTGTAAAATCAAAAGGTGTTGGAATATGTAAAAAAAAACATGTAGATTTGGCCCAAATCGAAATGCCCACTAGTGCTTCCGTTCGGCGGCATGGGTCATCTTGTGCTTGCCCAGACATCCGGAGCTTACAAAAGTCAATTCGCAGATGTCGCACTCAAAGCGTCGCTCGTTCCGATGGCGCCGGTGGTGCTCCTGGCGAGCACTCGTGTCGGAGAACCGACGTGGACAGTACAGGCAGACGTAGGGCTTTTCGCCCGTATGGATACGGTTGTGGCGAGTCAGCTCCTTCCGAGTGGCAAAGCTCCTTCCGCAATCCCTAAATAGAATAGCAGCCTTAAGCATTCTATAGAATATAAAAGCTTATTGATAAATCTCTACCCAAAAGGACAATGAAAATCCTTGATGCCTGTGTGCCTAAGTTTGTGCTCTTGAAAGTTCGTCTTGTTGTTAATGATTTTTCCGCACTCTTCGCAGGTATATGGACCAGTTCTACGATTTCGAGTTGGGTGCTTCGAGCTCATTGGTGCTTTGATTTGTCCAGCAGTCTGTGGAAGCTCTTTGATTTCGGGAATCAAAATGGATTCATCTAATGCAAGCTCGATTTGGTTATCATCAATGTCTTCATGCCTGGTGGGTTCTTTTTTTGGGTCATCTTTTCTGGTGGACTCAGTCCTCTCCAGATTCTGTTTCTCGGAAATGATGCAGCGCTGGCGAAATTTAATGGCTGTCTCCAGATCGCCCAAGCAAACCATACACAAGTGGCTGGATATTTCTTTTTTGCAAATTAGCTGGGAACCAAAAATAGCAAAGTTAAGTGCATAGTTGAAGGAAGTATTTTTAGTCCTTACCTCGACTCCTGTAATTGAATGAATTTGACGAACCAGGTGACCATTTGCCGGGTCAAATACGTTAATTGGTGCTTCCGTTTTAGAGCAAATGCGGCAATTTATGATTCGCATCCTGGATTTTTGCTATTTTTAAATACAAATAAAATGTTTGTTTACTTTTTTTGGCAAATAGTGTTTAGGTGCGGAATAGTTAGGGTGACACAATTGATGAAAACATGCGCGTGGTTTTAAATTGTTGACAAGGGGTGATATATTTATTTTACTCTTTTATAATTGCACTTAATTTATTAACAAATATAAGCTCATTTTTAAACATTTTGTTATTTTACCGTTTTTAAGTTTTCTGACAGCTTCCACAGCTTAATACCCCTATACTACACATGTCATTGCCACAGTTATCGTTATCGTTATCGTTATCGCCGACCACTAAACAGCTGTTTCATATACATGTAGCTGATGCGTTTACCAAACAATTCCATTGTTTATATTCGAAATAAACTCAAATATTTTCCATAAACGAAATGACGCTTCAATGCAGGACCTGCGGAGGCGTCATCTATAACTCAAAAGCCAAGAATCTCTTTCACATAGAAAACGCTACGTTGCTGCAAAACGTAAATCTTGTATCTGGCGCCATGGTAAGATCAAAAATGCTTATTTTCTCTGAATTTTATTAAAATATCCGCTGTAATTGTAGTTGCATGATGATCCGGAGCTGCCCAGCTGCATATGCGCATGCTGCCTGCTCGACTTAAATCAGGCTATTGTGTTCCGGGAAAGGTGCATCCAAACGCAGGAGGACTTGGTCCGGCGACTCAGAAATCCTGAACAGGAAATGTTTGGGACAGACCTTGAGGAAGCCGAAGTGGTTGTAGATATCAAGGAGGAGGCTGAGGTCAAAGGGTTTGGCTTACCTTTGGACAATACTATCGAAAAAGTCGACGAGTTCTTTGAAGAGTTTCAAGATGTAGACGCAGATGCGGAGGCGTATAACGTCGAAGTGGGCGAAGAGGTGTCCCAAGATGCCGACTCCCTTGTCTCCAGTGTGCAGAAGGAGTTTGAGTCAATTTACGACGATGACGAAAGCACAACAACAGAGAGCAAGGAGCTCGTGGAGGAAGTAAAGGGTGCCTATTACAATGAAGGTGAGGATGAGAGTAATGGATCCTCTCCAGATTCACCACCGCCCTCGGCAAAGCGGGCGCAAGGTCGCCCCAGAGCTAGTAGTTGCTCCTCGGAGACGACGACCTCGAAGCCCAAAAGAAAGAAACAGTACGTCACGTGGAAAAACTTGACCGAGGAGCAGATCGTGGAGCGAAAGCGGCAGCAGCGGAAGCGGGACTGCGTCTGCGAGCAATGCGGCCGCCATTTCACCGACCAGAGCAACTTCAAGCTGCACATGCTGCGGCACACGGGCATGAAGAACTTCGCCTGCCAGGAATGCGGTAAGCAGTTCTACACCGAGCACCTCATGTCACTGCACCAGCGGATCGTGCACCAGGGCGAGAAGCCCTACGCCTGCCGATACTGCACCAAGTCCTTCCACAACAGCACCACCCGCGTCATCCACGAAAGGTAGGTGATACTTACATATTTTTCATTCGTTGGTATTAATTTAATTTTATTTAAACTTATCTGAAGAAAGTAGTATAGCAGTAGTATATTATCGACTTAAATTATTCAGTATTAATCAACCAATTCATACTATTAAATAAGTATTATTATTGTTATTATTATTATTTAAGATCTTCGACTTAAATTGGTTTGGTAAATTTCTGAGAACTGTTGATCAGAAAAACTTACACACAAAAATTTCAAAACAATTTTAAGCAAAAAGATTTCTGATAAACTTTTCTAAAATTGCTATTGATGTTTTGGACTACTAATAAAGAATATTTATTTCCAGAGTTCACACTAATGCCAAGCCTTACAGCTGTAACCTATGCGACAAAAGCTTCAGCTCGGCTTCCGGACGCAAACGGCACGAATTGATTCATACAGGTGTGCGGGCCTTTTCGTGAGTATAATTAATATTTTTCGGCGATTCAAAACTAAGTAAATTTCCATTTTAGCTGTACTATCTGTGAGCAAACTTTCCAGCGCAACACTCATCTTAAGGCCCACCTGCGGTCCAAGTTTCACAGTTTAAGGGTGAAAAACAACGGACTCGAAAGCACAGAATGAAAAATAATTTTTCTGAAAATTATGCTTTATATTAGTTCTTTAAAACAAACCTTCTCAATTCTTTTAATTTGGGAGTAAATTTCACTTTTTGATTACGATATCTGGCGCCACTCATTGCGAATATAATCGATAACAGGGCTCTGCCAAAAAAAATCCGAGGTGGCAGCACTTACCGCCTCCACTTTCTTTTTAGTAGTACGGCAAGGCTGTACAGTTTTAGTTCGTTAAATATTAAAATATTTAATGAAATTGTAACAATATATCTTAGCGGGGTATAGAAGAGTCCGCATTATTGTTTAGTTTTAAATAATTAAATTTAAAACGCGTTGAAATATTTCGCTATAGAGTGCCAGATATTGGTATATTTTGGCGCTTCAGCTACGGTCACACCGCTGAAATTTCATCTAAATTTGACATTGTATTCCGCTTAAGATTTAATTTAAATTAAAAAAGGTGGTTTCGAGGAAAATTATAAGTATTTTAGGCGATACTTGGACGAAGCTAAACCGCCCCCCGCAAGTGTTCCACACCTTCCCAATTGCACTGTGAAAAAAACCGGTTGCTGACCTTCGGCAGCATGGAGCGTCGTCGCTTTAACTTGAGCAGCATGTCGCCCATGGCGGATTCCACGCGGATTGACGCGTCGCTAATGTGAGTGCCCACCTGTCGTTCTCAATTGAACTCGATTACTAATCACAGGTGTTTTCCTTTGTTCAGGGGCAATCGCCACTCGCCCGCCAGTTTCTTGAGGGGACTGAGTCCCAAGGGGGCGAACACCACGCTCAATGGCACCCGCACCCCGGAAAGGTCATTGATGAACCACACGGCCACATCGCCCAGCAGCATATCGCGACAAAAACTGAACCTCAGCCAGTTGGATCCCAGGTACGTGGTTTAGTTTCCAAATTGCACCAGGGCACAAACATCGTAAGATCTGATTGCTTGAAGAGTTGTGATAAAATATATAATTGCATGTCGAGTTGTGATAAAATATATAATAGCTTCCCAATTATTGATTTAAATTTCGACCCTTTCAAAAAATTATTGATCTTACAGAACCTTTGTCGATGTGCACAGCAGTGGACTGGCCTCCCGGATAGTGGCCTACCATGAGAGCAGCCTGGGCGGACGCAGTGGCCTGCAGCGCAGCATGTCCGCCAGCAATCTTTACAATCCACTGACGCAGCCGCGCAGGGCTCCCGCCACCCCGCTGCCCTACAAATCGAAGGTGCCGGCGCTTTCCATGACCCAAATTGCACCACCGGAGCGGAGCTTCTATTCCGGCAACACTCTGCCCAGCCTCTTGCGGTCCAACTCTCTGGCGGGAGTGGTGCACAAGGTCAGCGAGCAGGAGCAGCTGTCGCGGGAGAATCGACCCATCCTGCATCCGCCGCATCCGCAGCACGAAAGTGAACCAACCAGGAGCGTGCTGGAGGAGCTCAAGGAGATTTCGCGGAAGCGCATCAACAGTGGTGTAAGTTTAAGCCCTCAACATCTATCCTCTCGAAAGGACACAAGCTTAGGCTTCGCTTGCTTTCAGGACGCGTCCTCGCCTCACGACTTTACGAAAAGGAGTTGCCATCGAGGTGTGGACTTTGTGGACCACAACCGTCACCAACAACAGCTCACCCAGCTGCAGCAGCAGCAGCCGCAAAATCAGTCTTTTAAGAGACAACGCGAACTCACTGTATCGGTTCCTCTCAGGCATCATTCGACATCGCTGGTGCCTGCTCCACCTTCAATGCAGCATATGCTCTCCAATGGCAGCATATCGCCCACCCAGTCGCCGGAGCAGCTGGCCAAGCGGCCGAACTGCAACTACAACAACGACATTGCATCCTCGCTGAGCTCCAGTCGGCGGCACAGCAACAAGCGGAAGCTGTTCGACATGCGGGAGAGCTTTCAGCGCAGCAAATGTGAGTCCACGGCCAGTGGGAGCTCACCGGACAACTCCCCCGGCGAGAATGTGGCCAAAATTCAGCGTAAAGTGATCGCAGAATCGGTCAGCAAGGCGTCGAGCATGCCCGTTCCCTCTGTGTCGGCAGTGCCTCCTGCGCGGACAATTTCAGCACCTCCAGCAGATCAGAGATCAGCAGAAGTTCCGCCTGCGACGGAGAAACCCAAGCTTACGCTATTCAATGCGCGGCAGTCTCAAACAAAAACGAAACAGCCGCGACAAGATCTGAACAGTCCGGATGTGGATGCTGGGGAATACGCGGGCATTAATTTTGTAAAGCCCAAGCAGCAGAACTCCATGCTGGGCGTTAAAAATTCCAGTGTGGAGCGCACGCACAAGACCAAACTGGCCATAATGCTCAGCGGATTGAAGGGTGAACTGTACCAGGGTGAGCCGGACGAACTAGACGCTCTAGCGCCATCTCCTGTGGATCTGCCAACGCCCATAAAACCTACAATTGCGCCGCCAGTGACTACAGCTACAACCACCACGACCACAACCTCCACCGCGACCATGAATACTTCGGCGGCCAGCAAGCCGGTAATACTAAGTAACCAGGTGATAAAGCCAGCGGAAACGACAACCACAAGTGCCACCAACCCACTGCCTAAACTTGTGTTTGGCCAGACGGCGACGACTGCTTCACCGGAGCCAGCAGCAGCGCCAAAGACCACCGAGAAAGATGCGGCCGCACCAGCAGGAATCCCGGCCAAGCCCGAATTACCAGCTAATTCTTTGGCGCCTGCAGCATCAACTCAACCATTGATTACTTTTGGCACACCGAAATCCTCCGCTGCACCCACACTCTCATTTGGAAATGCCAGCACTACTGTTACTACTACCCCAAGCACTAGTGCCACCACAACAAAGCCAATGTTCTCATTTGGACAACCGTCTGCCAATGGACCAACAGTAGGCGTCGCATCTGGATTCAAAATAGACAGCCCCGCAACAACAAAAGCCAATTCAACAAACTCAGGAACGCCGGCCACAACTACAAATACTTTTGGAGCGGTCACAACTACAACTACTTTTGGAGCGGCCACAACTACAACTACTTTTGGAGCGGCCACAACTACAACTACTTTTGGAGCGGCCATACCAACGACGACATCGACGACGTCATCCATTAGCTTTGGCAAGCCGATTTCAGCAGGACCAACAGGACCGGCCACAATGAACAACCCAGCCACAGGAATAATATCACCATTCGGAACAGGACCATCGACCACCAGCAATGCGCTGAACTCAACGGAAAGCAAACCAATATTTGCCTTTGGACAGTCGGGCAATGCAAGCTCAGGGACTCCGGCAAGCAGTGGAAATGAAGCACCTGCTGCCAAACCGGCTGTTTTCAGCTTTGGCAGTAGCACCACTCAACCAGCTGGAGCAGCATTAACACAATCGTTTGGCAGTCAATCGCAGTCGGGCGCCAACTCTTTTGGCGGGGTTTTCAGTCAACCTGCGGCAACCAAGGCCGAGCCAACTAAGCCTGGTATCTTCGGTAGTCAGGACAACAGCTTTGGAAGCGCCTTCAAACCATCAGGAGATGCCGCAGCAACCACAGCTGCCGAGCCTGTGAAGCCATTCGGTTTTGGAGCTACCACAACCGTGGCAGGCGGAGCCCCAGCGCCCACGAATCTCTTTGCCTTTGGAGGATCAGCCACATCGAAGACAACAGAACCTACTACAACTAATACCGCAAACAATCTGTTTGGTCAGAATGCAGCTACAACCACGCCCTTTGCCTTTGGAGGAGCATCAGCAGCAGCAGCAACAGGAAGCAGTGGAAATAAGGACAACAAATCAATATTTGCATTTGGAGGAGGAGGAGCAGGAGCAGGAGCAGCAGACAACAACTCGGCAGCCAAGCCGAGTTCGTTGTTTAACTTTGGCGGCGCGGAAAAGAGTGCACCACCTGCCTTTGGCAGCTCAACACCATCGGCATCATCTGCAGCACCCACACCGGCAAGCAACGTCTTTGGATTCGGCTCAGCACAGCAGAAGCCTGCCACACCCATGTTTGGCAATGGATCAGCCCAACAGGCCGCGTCTGCAGCCCCTCCAGTGGCAGCCACCAAACCATTTGGATTTGGAGGTGCCCAGCAGGCGTCTGCACCATCGGCGTCGCCAGCTTCTGGAGGATTCTCGTTTGCCGCAGCGGCATCAAAGAATACCGCTGAAGCGAGTGGAACAAATATGTTTGGCAGTCCCGCCAGCACCAGCAAGACGACTTTTAACTTCGGCGGAAACACCGGCAACCAGGCAGGAGCAGCATCGCCAGGTGGCTTCTCTTTTGCCACACCAAGCAAGAAGGAAGCGCCTGCGGCCACAAATATCTTCGGAAGCCCCAACACCGGAGTGGTTAAGCCAAGCTTTAGTTTTTCAAGTAACAATCCGAGCACCCAATCAGCAGCTCCTACTCCGGCACCCAGCTTTGGAGGATTCGGAGCACCTGCAGCGCCACCAGCGGCCGCACCCAATCAAAACAAACCGTTTGCCTTTGGAGGAGGCTCGGCAGCTCCCGCTCCCAGCGCCTCACCCATGGGCGGCAACCTGTTCGCCAATGCGGTGGCTGCCACCGAAAACCAACCGAAGCCGGGAGGAGTCTTCCCGTTCGGCGGGGCTAAGAGCACCGCCAGCAGCACGACAGCCGGCAACGCTCCCTTCTCCTTTGGCGGAGCAGCTGCAGGCGGCATCGCCTCGCCGCCCAGCAACCAGGGCATGAACACAGCGAAGCCGTTCACCTTTGGTGGCGTGGGCGGCAATCCGGCGCCCAATGTCTTTGGAAGTCCAGCACCTGCGCCGGCAGCCAGCAATCCGGCAGGAGCCTTCAGCTTTGGCGGCGGCGGCAGTCCGGCCCAACAGGCGAACGCCGGAAACATGTTCGCCCCACCGTCGGAGAGTCGACCCATCCGCAAAGCCACCCGACGACTGCAGAAATAAGTCCGCGAACCAAATTGATGTGTAGTTCATTATTGTTTTTCTAGTTAAATTATTGTTTTTTACCAGACAGTGCAGGAATGTAGTTGGCAATCCAAAATGTAACATACAAATCCATTTCTGTAAATGTGATTGTCTCTAAAGCGTATAGAATTAGAAACGTATCATTTAATTATATTTTTATGCATTCAATTAACAAAATGTATGTTATTGAAATCAATATAAAAGCAGCTAAAAATAAACATTGAAGTGTGAACCCTGAAGTGTTCAAGTTACATTTGAATCGTTTCCTCATTTGGGTCCATCCTTTGTTGCATGACAAAAAAACTTAAAAAGAAACGCCAAACCCACTTCATGCTTGTATTCTTTACTTTTATTAAAAGTTTCAGAACTCTCTGCCTCCTTTAATCACCTCGTTTAAGATTTGTGTATTGGTGCAAGTTTGTGTGGTCTTTGCCGGGTTTTGCTAACGCGTAGAACTTTCTTTTACAATTGATTGATTGATGTGTGTATTAAAAAAATAATAACTTTAAAATTAATTAAATGTATGTCATGTGGACGTGTGTATGTGTGAGGGGGTGTATTGGTGTGTTGGTGTACTAGGTGTGTTTTACATAAAGTATACTAAAATTAAGTGTTAAAGCAAAGTGGCTGCCGCTTGATCGCAAATTAAAACGCATAAATGTACAAGTTTCTTAGGGGAACACTAAAATAAGCACTAGGTATTAAGTAAATTACGGGGTACGTTTAAAAAATAAATTACATTTTGCCTTTGCCTTTCTGCTAGCTGATTTAGAGTACAGAGAAGGAGATTCCTTGTTAGAAGAATGGACCGAATAATGAACAAATCCACGAACTTTGCGCGTAATAATTTATATTTGTATAATATTATTAATCGATTCATATGCTAAATACGTAGTTAATGTGTATTGTATTATATGTATAGACGTTTTAATGTAATGCATATTTTCACAAGTGTTTTTCTCTTTACTTTTCTTTTCATTCTTTTGAGTTTAAGGACACGCGACCGCAGTCGCCTTCGTTTACGTTTGCTTAGTTTTCGCCTTCTCTTTTTGCATAATTTTTGCTTGTTTTTTGATTTTCAATACAAATAAATGTAACTAAATTTAACTAATTCTCAGCGTGTTCTCTTCTCCAACGACTTGTTGGACAAGTTCTTTGTGGTCATCCCTCAGTTTTGTGCTACAAACAGAAACGGTTAACAGAAAAAGTGTGGAACTCGAATAAAACTTGGCGTTTCTACGATTTCAAAGGGAAACATTCTACAAACAATTTCTTTAGACAGGCGCCCCCAAAAGATGAGGAGGCGCTCATATGTATGCGTATTCTATAACATAAAGATACAGATGTGGTTACGAATCCAGAAGAGAAATGATACAGTGGAGTCCGAACCAAGGAGTTAACTAATAAATAGCTACAGTTACTTGTAAAGTTACAGTGTACACATAACATAATATTGTGGTAGTTAAAGGTAGTAATAGTAGGTAGGCTATGCAGCTGCTCTTCCTCCAATCCATCGCTATCCCATAGTCCGTTCGATTGGTTATCAATTAATTATATGTCGGAAGCTGGCGCAACTCACTAACATTGCTTGATTGTGTTGGGTTCCTTCGCTTAGGCTTACAAAACTTACTCCATAAATTATATATGTAAATAAATTGTTGTAAAGTAGTTATATATTCATGTATGTATATAATCGTACGAAAAATTGTTGCGTTCAGTGTCGGTGTCATGTCAGTTTCAGCTTTGGATCTGGCTCGTTTCTGGCAGGGATTGGCTCTACCCTTGGCTCCGATGACAGCTGCTCTGAACAATCCGCATAAGTTGCTTCCTATCGCGCTGGCGTCAATCCAGGAGGCACCGAACCTCCTCACGCCGTGGCATTGTTCAGCAACTGCAGCTTCACCTTGAGCTCCGCGAATGTGGGTCGCTTGGCGGGATTCAGGTCCCAGGCCTGGCGCATCATCTCGTAGATCTCCGGTGGACAGCCCTCCGGTGCTTCCATTTTATAGCCCACCTCAACGTGCTTCACCACATCGGCTAATGGCTATAAGGGACAAGAAACTATAGTAAGTCACGCCTTAAGTTATAGCCCAGATCTGCACTCACAATTCTGGGATAAGGCACGCGTCCAAAGGAGTAGATTTCCCACAGCAGTATGCCAAAGCTCCACATGTCGGATTTGTTGGAGAAGCGCTAAATGGGCGACGACAGAGGATATTAGTCAGAATGTGCCATGTTTAAGTACTCATTCATTTAAGCTCACCCCATTTTTGAGCGCCTCGGGAGCCGTCCATTTGATGGGCAGCTTGCCAACGTCAAGATTATAGCATTCCTCGCGTGCCAAACCGAAATCCGATACCTTGGCCACACATTCCTCCGAGATAAGGACATTGCGGGCTGCCAGATCGCGATGCACAACCTTCTTGGCTTCCAGATATTCCATACCAGAGGCAGTGTCGCTAATAAATGGGCAATGTTGGTGAAAATCGATTCGTAGGAGTCTCATATTAGACTGCTTACTAGGCAAAAATGATTTGATCCTTTTTGGTTATGTGCTGTCGTCCGCGCGATCGCAGGTAATCAACCAGTGATCCCTTGCTCATGTACTCCGTAACCAGATACAGATGCTTGCTGGTGAAGACCAGACCGATGAACTTTACCAAATTGTCGTGCTCCAGCGTGCTGAACGAAGGTAAAAAAAGATGTATGTGAAAAAGGAGGGAAACATAGATGTGCGGAGAACTCACGTCATGACCGAGGCTTCGGCCAGAAACTTTTGCACGGCCCCCTCGTCCTTCAGCATCTTGACAGCCACCTTCTCGTTGCGTAGTATGCCCAGCATCACGTCCCCGAACTCGCCCTTGCCGATGCTCTCGCGCAGCTGCAGCTCCGCCTCAGGGATCACCCAGCCCTTGTCCACGAAATCTTTGGAGTTGATGCAGAACTCTTGTTTGCCCAACTTGGGCAAGCACTTAATCAGCTGCGTGCACAGGCCATCCGCATCGGCTTCATAGTGCTGAATAGATATAGAAAAAAGTGCTTTAATACGGGTGTATTTTGGGCATATTTTGGCTGACCTACCGCCACTAGCTGTCCCAAATTCTCAAAGTACTCTTCGTCGTCGATGGTCAGCTTGTTCTCCAGGTACTTAACCCGATAGTGCTCCACCTTGGACTGGAAGCAAACGCAGAGCGTGTAGTCGCCGGGGAAGTTTGTGGATTCGCGCACCAGGAACAATCCATCCTCACGGGGCTGCAGTAGGTGCTCCGCCTCGTCCCGCGTGATGCTGCCATGGAACCATCTGGTAGAAAATAAGGAAATGGGTTAAGATAATGGTAAAATGTAATACTGGATGTCAACTTACGGCATGGCGTTCAGCTTGACCTCGCACCGGGAACGACCTTGCTGCGGTGCCATCGCTGTGGGCGACAGGGAGGCGTGGTTCATGGCCGTGGTGGAGCCGCTGGACCACGCACTGCTCGCATTAACTCCGCTGGCCACAGCACCAGCCCCATTGATGTCGAAGCTGTGCAGCGAGGTGGACATGCCCGCCGACCCACTGCCACTGCCACTGGCGACTGGCGCCGCCTGGGATGGCTGCGTCGGTTGGGTGGCCGTGTGCAGCAGCATATTGCTGCCGTGCTGGCTGCCACTCAGCGCCAGACTCTTTGGCGGCAGCGCCCGCTCGGCGCCGTGCAACGCCATTTGGGCCGCATTCAGCGAGGAGGACATCAGGCCCGCTCCGCCGGACGCACAGTTGGCCAGCAGCTGGAGGTGCTGCTGTTGCTGCTGCTGGGCAACGGCGGCCACTGCGGCGGCGGTACCGGCTATCGCCTGCGATCCCGCCGGCTGCACAGAGGTCACTGTGGGGGCGGGCGCAAACGTGGACAGTATGCTGTGGGAAGCCTGTTGCTGCTGTTGTTGCTGTTGCTGCTGCTGCTGTTGGCTCGCCGTCTGCTGCTGCTGCTGCTGTTGCTGCTGCGTCTGGCTGGGGGACTTGGGCGAATGATTGCTGGCGCTGCTGATTAAATTATGACTATTAAGCGCATGCGATGACAAATGCAGTGCAGCTGCCGCGCCCGCCTGGCTGGGATGCTAAATAATAATAATAAAAGAAAAGAGAGCAATGTCAGTAGAGCAATTTAATAAACATGGATGCAGTACAGCCAAAGGTTACAACCCACCACATTGTTCTCGCGATGGTGGTGGTGATGCGGCGGTATACTGGGCGGCACAATGTGCGGCTGCGACTGGCTGAGCTGCTGCTGGTGGAGCAGCACCGCCCCCACCGCCGATCCGGCTGCAGGGCCAGCGCCAGTGGATCCCGCACCCAGGACCGCATTCGGTTGGGGCGCGGGACGCTTGTTGTGCCGCAGCGGAGCGGTGGGCGGCATCTGGTGGCCGGTGGTCTGCAGGAACCATGGATCGCCGGCCGTGCTGCCCGTCGCCGCTGCAGCGGCCACCGTCACCGACGGCTGCGAGAATCCGCGATGGTGTCCGACGACCGTGGTTTGTCCGTTCTGCGTGGCAGTCGCGTGGCTGTTCATAGCCGTGCCGGTCGTCGTGGTTGCACCTTCGTTGGCTGGCGACGGCTGCTTTGGCTTCCTCAGCGGTCCCTGCTTGATCTCGACGGTGATCAGATCGCCCTCGCCAGACGCCTTCCTCGAGAGCGGTTCCTTCTTCTCCTGATCCTGCTCTTGCTCCTTGCTCTGGCTCCGCTCCTTGCTGGTCTGGTTTTCCCTGGCTAGGGCTTCCTCGTCTGCAAAAATGAAAATGAATGCGAACTTTAGTTTGTTGCCTTCCAGAGTTATCAATTGGTCATGTTATTTGCTGATATAATGAGGCCAAAAGCATCTAATCTTATCACAGCTCCGCACAACACAATGTTTATCTACGTTAATTATAATATTAATTCCCAATAAAATCAGCTGGACAAATATGTTACTTATTTAATGGCCGCATTTGGAGTTATCGAATAGATTGGCTAGAGTGTGTTTCAAACAGCAATCGTTTCCCATTATTAGCACAATTCGGTAGACAATGGCAAGACTGAAAGACACATACATCTGTCAATTTAGATATCTAACAATTTTATCTTTATTAATTATATAATTATTTCCTCACGGGAATCAGATCGTCAAATATGCAATTAATTTTGTGACACGACACACAGGTTTCAATTATATTTTTATGGATTAGATTTGAAATATCTGACATTGACAGAATGATAGTATTTATGTTGACCATATAAATTTAAACAGGTAAACACATATTTGTGCTTTAACATTTTATTGTGATTTATAATCGCCAAAAAAGTTCTTTTTTTTTACTTCATTTGTCAAGATTCCAGTACACACATTTCTCAGTTGTAATGTCTGAGTCTCTGATATCGAGCTTTACTTTCCGGATGGCCAAAGCAGTTTTCGTGATCGTTTGGAGGCCAAACGCACGTTTATGTATTTAATCAGTTAGTCAATTCAGACCACAAATAGCTGCGATTGCATAAGCCGCTTTGGATGTGCAATGATAATTGTTGGTCAACACACTCAACACTCAACTCAGTGACTCAAATGGACACAAATGGCATGTTAATCGGGTGAAGTGAGTGAATCCACTCGCCAAATGTAAAACGTTTGCATGTGACGGGCATAATTAAGCCCAGTTTACTGCGCACTTTTAGGGTTTGGGCTACTGTTTGCCTGGACACGATTTTAGACTCGGAATGAGTCAGTTTTATATCGCTGTATAACTTCCCACAAAGCTTTACACACAAAAAAGTTTGGAAAAGTATTTAAAAAGAAAGGTGGGTTCAAAAATAGTGGTATAGTAGTTGTTAAATTTGTAGAACTATTTGGTTCAGAACACTTTATTTCAACAAAAAAAGTATTTTTGTTTAATATTTTAAAACCCATGAATAAACAATTTTTATATTTTCAACTATTCGTCCAAATTTGTTTTAAAGTGTTTAGGCCAATCCCCAAAATGGAACATATTCTGCCAACATTCGCTCCCCACTTTACATCACTTGTAATTGCGCTGTTTTAGGCAGTGATGGCTCTTCCAGGGGCTTAATTTCTTAATTTTATGCAAATTTCATTAGCGAATCTCGCTCGCTTGGCGGAAACGCGTTTTGCATATTAAATTCTCATTCTGGGACGTGGATTTATCGTGGGAGTGAGTGAGTGAAGCCGAGGCGTGGGCATTGTTTAAACTGCGACAGGTTGACAGGGGAGAAGCGGGACACGCGCAGGTCAGTTTACCGCTCTCGAAGGCCCAAGACCTTGCCCGTAAATTATTGGAAGCCACATCCGCAATGAACTGGAGTTTGGAGATTCGACTATCGGGCTAAATTGGTTTAGCATGACTGTTCGAATGCGCGAATCCGTTCGGCAATTGCAGTCGGTCATACAGTAACAGTCATCGCCGTATCGTCAGCGGCTTCCTGTTCGCCGGAGTCGGAGCTTTGAAGTCACATCCGCAGACAATTGTCTTTATATTTGTGTACTCGCCGCTTATTGTTTCAATTGTTCAACCACAACCTGAAATTTAGCGCTGCTCCGTGGAAGATAAATCGAATTTGGACTTTTGAAAAGTTTGCTAGTGCAATACAAATAAACATGTCGATTTTCGATTTGAAATTGAACACTGGTTGGGTTGTGAACGAAATATGTGAGGCGAGATGCTCTCCGCATAAAGTGCTGGTCTGTCCAACTGATAAACACAAAACAATTTTAATAACAAAACTATATTTTCGAAAGCAAAAATTAAATGCTAACAGTTTCAAGAAATATTTGTTGTTCATAAGCAATTTACGGGCACTAAGAAACATAAATATTTTCATTAATAAAGTTTCAAGTGCAATACTTTTCGATTATGATTTAAAAATAGCAGTACGATAATTTTTGTTTATTTTGAGCTTGATTTATGTGCGAGAACTTCATCTTCTCGGCCTTGACTCGAAAAAAATCATATATATTGGGAACTGAGCCTTTCTCATCCCACACATCTCCCCAGAGTGTGAGTCAGAGTGTAATACAAATAATATTAAGATTCACTCGTCAAAAGAACAATGGGAATTTTTCAAGCCTTTGTCTTTTATTTTATTCTTAACTTAGGGTGTTTAATGATAGCGGTTTTTGAAAGTTAATTTGCGTAAAAATCTGGTCTTAAATAAAACGCCTTATCGAAATGGATAATCCTTTTTTTTTTTGCATTTCCAAATTTATGAAAGTGTAAAAACACAATGTATTGACTGTAAAGTGCCGGGTATAATCTTATGTAAAGCCAATGCCCACTCGAGGTACATAGCTGTCATCACCGGGAGTGACTCGGAGCCTTTGATTAGTCAACGCCGGTGACAGGCCAATTACTATGTTCCCCCCACCTGTCGATGTTTACATCTACAACTTTGCATGTGCGTGATAGCTAGGTAACGACAGGTATTGCCACACACACCTGTGGCTTCGGCAACCAGACAAATACAAAGTGTAAATAATAAAACATCGCTGTTCTTGCAAAACCAAAAACAAAATCACCACAAGTAATAAATAAGTGTTTTGGTTTTAGTTGGATTGTAAAGCGAGTCGAACATAAACTACCTTTGAAATTCGTAAACAAAAAGGTAAATAAAAGAAGGGAGTGGATGAGGCAGAGAGATAAAAACACGCTTCGCAAATATAAATCAACCGCTCTTAAATAATTGAACAATGCCTGGCAAATGAACATCAAAATGGCGATTTGTGTATTATTTGAAATATTCAAAGTATAATAATCATTAAAAATGCACAAAGTTAAAATTAACGACAGCAACATGCCGGACATGAGTGCAAAAAAGCGCTTCCAAAGGTTCGCGAAAAAGTGCAAACAATAAAATTGAATGATTCATTGGCCATTGGCCGTTCAACGCACATATCGTGCGGGTACGTTTACTTTTGCAATGCACTGTGGACTGGTTGTGGGTGTTGAGCAAAGTCAAATGAAATGCGCAGTAATCCGACTGTCTCGATGAGGTAATACTAATTAAGCAAAGCGTCGAAAATGCACTGCGGAAAATGTGTCAAAAAATGGGATCGAAGTTTAGAAACAAAATCGATTATTTCTACAAATAGATATTCTGTTTTTTAGTGTTCTCCGGTTGAAAAAATGCAGTATAGTTTTATGGGATCATTAAAATTGGTTTACTTTCCAAACGGAATCAAAAGCACTTATAGATTAATATAATTGCATATATTTTAAATCTCTATTTTAGAGCTTGAAACATAAAATAGTTTTCTTTGGATATAATATTCCGTGTTCAAAGTGAATCAGAAAATTATTTAATCAGCTAATTATTCAGTTGATGTGCATTCAATTGTACCCTAATAGATTTATTCTCTATTCACTAACTACACCGCCGGGGATTAGTTGTTGATGTTAATCATTGTTAATCATTTAATCCTCATGACCGTCCAAGTTAGCTAATGAAAACTCTGTTTGCTTGAAGTTGGAGCTCTGACTGACAGCCAGATGATTTCTCCCTTGGGCCAAGGCGTTGGATTAAATTTGTATATAAGTGGGCAGGAGATTGTGGAAAAGAAAACAGTAAAACACCAACATAGCTAACAAGCACATACGTGAGAATCTTTTGTATAGCTTCCTTATTGTTTGAGTTAATGGGGAACACACACACTCCGCAAAAATAGCAAAGGAACATTAATTTTTTTGTTAAACCGGATATTTAATGCACTTGCATTTAGAAGAAAAGGAATATTTAATATACATGAGCAGGAAATTGAAAATCTTAATATATCAGTTCAAAATTAGTTAACGTTTAAAGAATATCAAAAGAAAAAAAATATATATATTGAAATCATTTTTTTTATCTTTTATCAAGACTAATTTAATTCGTATAAATATATACAACTTTTTTCTTAATAAACAGTTACTTTTAATAAGATTCAAATTCTGACTATACATTTACAAAAAGACAATCCACTTTAAAAATTACAAGGTGCCATGTTTTTTCACCTGTTCCTTGCCAATTTCTGTGAATAATTGCTCTACACCATGGCTCTGTACATATATAGATCAAGCATTTGGATGGCAGGGGACCAAGTTTCCGACATTCTCACACTATCTTTTTGTGGTTCAGGAGAAAAGGGGCTGTAACGACAGGTAAATACACACAGAAGACAATCATTCCTGCACAAAGTCAGTCAACAGTTGCCGGTGGTTCCTGGGCCATTGTGTTGCCACCAGTTGGAAAGTGCAGGCCGAAAGAAAGGTAACCTTAGTCAGTCAGTCAGTCGCTGGGTTTTGGCACAAAAGGGAGGGAAAATGGGGGAAAAAAGCCATGAATGGAACGCAAGGTGCTCATGAATGGCGTGTGATGGTTTTCGCCGGTGCTCAGAAATTTGCATATCGCATGCGAGGCGATGAGCAGCAGGAAAACCGCAAGCAGGAAGAAGGAAGCCAAGTGGTAGACTACACCTGTGCAAAAACATAGGTACATGTATCTGTATCTGCTAATTACACGGTTAGCTGACTCACGTGGTCGACCCTGGGCGAAGAGTTGGAGTCGTTCGTTTGGGTGGCCCATTCTGCGGCCGGAGAACCCTTCTCCTTCTCCTTCTCCAAATCTCGACGGGCCTTAGAACAGACGCAACTGGACACCGCTGACGGAGCTTGGCTCTTTTGCCAGTTATTGCCCAACGGTTAGACCATAATCCAATACCCGGGCCCAATGTCAGCGAGCGGCAAAAGAATTCGGACGCTTGGAGTGGCTTGAAACTCAATCTGCGGACCGTTTGCAACACCAGCCGCAACAATTGGGAACAGGGCTGAGTCGTTGACTGTTGTAGATATGAATTTTTAGGGTTTGCACATAACTCATTTAAAACAATTAAAGGAAAACATATTTAAATACTAATTTTAAAATCTTGTTTTGACGAAACATATTAAAATATTAGTTGAGTAGATTGTTTTTGTATATTTCAAGATTTTCTTTTTGACTAAAAATTTTATCAAAATGCAAATCATTTTTAGATTATGATTCTCAAGATCTATTATTTCAATATAGTATCTACGTATCATAGTGAAAGTGATTAACATTGCAGTAGAGGTATCGATTTAACTATGTTAAATCTGAGTTCAACATTAAGTTTTTAACGATTGCTCGATTTTATCATATATTTAAACCATTTTTGGTTAAAGATCTTGTGGTGTACTAACCGAACCACTCCTCCGAGCTGGCGATGGGCGGAAGCGAGCACGAGGATTGCTGTCCGTTTTTCCTTGTCCTCTCCCGGGAATTTCCCAGGGATCTGTCTTTGGTGTGTTGGAGCTCGGATTTGGTTTTGGCCGCCTGGAACTTGCGATGGGCGCAGCGTAGGAAGTTTAGCAGTCGAGCATCGATGGGCGGGGAGGATTCGTTTTTGGCAGGTGAACTTATTGTATTCGGCGTACTTCGTCCTGTATTTGGTGCATACTTGTCGCAGAAATAGAACTCCCGCCGGCGGGGAGGCGCATAGGCGGCGCTCAAGCTGCTGCACAGAAGGATGGGCTTGCGGCGCGCCCGGGAGATCACCTGGCCACCACTGTGGGTGGCGTGGGTGGCCGCCTCCTTGTGTGTTGCACTGCTGGCGCTGCGCGTTAGTCCCAAACCGGATCCTGGTTCCGAGATTGCCTCCCGGCTCTGCTTGCACCAATAGATGTCCTTGCTGCCAAAGTAGTAGCGTCGCCTCGTGTCCTGCGCTCCCGATCCTCGATGGCTCCGATGGCCCACCGATCGATTGGACCGCTTGCTGGTACTCGAAGCCGTCTGACTGCCGCTGCTCGTCTGCGAATTGTCGCTCTCGTTGTTCGAATTGGAAGGCGATGCGGACGCAGATTTCAGTGCCCGATCCGAGGAAGCCGATCCTGCTGCACCTGCTCCGTTGGTAGGAGACGAGGGCATGAGGTACGAGTTGGACTGGATGAAGACGCCATCGCAGGTTATCTTAATTGTTGTCACCATGTTCCCGCATTGCGTTCAGTTCGCGTTCTGATTGGTTTTCTATTTCAGAAAACTCTACTACTCTACTCTTGGTGGCGCAATGTTACTGTATGCATCTGGTTCAACTATCTATTAAACAATTCAAAGAAATTTCTTATAAAAAAAAGCTTTCAACTTTATATGCCTTAGTTTGCAATTCCCATCAATCTACTGCCAATTTCAATATAATTTTTTCCAAGTGAAAACAGGAGATAGTTCTAATGGAAGCCATTGTTAGTGCACAGTAGCAGCTAATACAAAGAGCAAAAATTAACCGCCCCGCCCTGTCATAGAACTGAAATCGAGGCTAATGCCCAACATGAAATGGACAAAGCCCGGCAAATTGTTTTCGTTGGTAATAATACTAATTAAGGTTCTGTAAGCGCTTCGATTTGGTATCGGCAAGCATCGAGGTAGTCACAATGGACTACTGGGCGGAATCAATAGTGAAGCGACCGGGGCAAATAATGGCTGGCAAAAAAGCGTAAATGGGAAAATTTCTAAAGTGAAAAATTCAAGCTAAAAAAAAACAATTGGAATAAATTCCATGCCTTGGAGAGATAGAAAAACAGAGAAAATCCTAGAGGTAGCTGCAGAAATTGGCTTTATTGCGAGGAGGGGCAGCCCCCCTTAGGGTACTCCACTAAATATGTTTTTTTTTTCTTTTTTTTCTTTTCCATTCCTCGGCAAGTCAATTCGCCACATTAACGGTTTGTCAGCGGCTTACTGGAATAGTCGACAATGGCTTTGAGTGCTCCACAAACAGCTAAAAACGCTGGTTGGGCCAAAATCAGTTGCCATTCCATGTTGTCTTACTTCTCTGGGTTGGGAAAACACGAACCAGTCGCCTGAATTGAATTGGAATTTACTGGAACTCTGGCTACATATTGTGCAAATAATTTGGGCGTGGGAACCTCGCAGTCGACGTCGGCAGAGGAGCGAGCAGAGAGAGCTATTGTCTATCCCTAGGCAGGTGGCAAATGTTGGGAAAGTTTGTGGAGGGAAAGAGATGCTTGTGCCCCGATAATTTGATATAGTTGTAAGCAAGATAGGGTTGTTAATTACTCGGAAAATGTATGGGTTTAATACTAAGCAAACAGGTATCGGTTATAAGTAGGGTTATATTTTACTCTTTGCCAAGAAATTAATTAATGCAAAATATGTTGATTTAAAAAAATAGAGATAAAAGAGATAACATTGTTTTTATTTGCGATCCCCCTAAACTCTCACTGAATCTTCACTTTCCTTGGCGGGTGGAGAACTTTCCTGGACAAATGTCAACCCACAATTAAATATGCAAATAAGCCAGAATTGGGCACGTGGAAAGTGATTGCTTATCATGACCCACAAAGGAACCGGGGGCCAAATGAAATTCTCCGCACGATGACTGTCGTTGCGAGTTGGGAAAAGCGTTCGGTCGGCTGAAAAAGCGCACCCAAAAAGACAAAAAAAAAGCTAATTAAATAAAACAATAACAGAATTATGTATGACACAACAAGTTTCTGTCGCTGCTGACGAAATGCAAAATGAAAAGCAAAAGCCAAAAAGTGGAATCAAAATTAAAGCCAAAAATCTAAGACGTTGGCTGAAACAAAGAGGGCAATAAGCGGAGAGAAAAGTGAAGAGTTAAAGACAATGGGCCGGGTTTTGGGCCTGGTTGAAATGCGTAAGTTTGTTGGTCCGGATATCCTCCGAATTGGCGGATTTTTAGCTGCGTTTCGGATCGGTTTTAAGCGCCGGCGGCAGTACCTGTTGCATATATCATTTTGGCAAGCAGTGAGTGAAAGTTTCTTTATACCCTGCCCCCAAACGGTAACTAAAACATGGACAAAAAACCCGAATGGACAGCAAATTAACTTGGGACAAAGAGCATTTAGCATTCGCCATTGTTTTTGACCATTCCGGGGCTCAATTAATAATTTAACTTTTACAATTATTTTAACGTGCCTGGCACGCATTAAAAGAAAATGAAGAGAGTCCAAGTCGAGAAATGAAAAACGAAATGCGCCATTGGCTTTAGAGTGTTAAGAGCGGTGCGGGGGGCAAAAGTTTGCCACTCAGAGGGTTAAGCTCGTCTTCACTTGTGTGCAGTGAATGGCAAATTGAATAAGTGGATGGAAAACACATAAAAGCCGTGTACAGAGCCAAGAAAAACATAAAAAATTGTTTCACGCGTCTGCAGTTGAAGTTTTTTCTCTTCCTTTTTTTTTTTGTCCACTTTCACTCCGTCCAGCGGAGTTGGAGATACAAATTTTAGCCAAGGCTCGGACTCGCTCAGGATGACGCTCGGCGGATTAGTTTCCCATTCAGAGAGCGTTGGCGAAAACTAGTTACAGTTTAAGGCCCCGGTTTTTTGGCCGATTAGAGCGGCGATGACTAATACGCTGGAAAATTGAAAATGCCTCGACACGCCAGCCTACAATGTTTCTGTGTTGCTGTCTTTTTTCCGGTTTTTATTTTGTCAAAGTCGAATGTCTGCACGTCGCCAAAATTAGCGTGCAAATCGATTGTGCAGAGGCTTTAAGCCGAGTGATTCATGCAATTTTGGGATCAGCCGCGGTCCATACTTGCAATCTTAGATCGGATTAAAATGTGCAGTTAGAGAGCGAGAAGAATGGAAGAATAAACGAAGAAATTGCAGTAATGTGAACCTGGGGCTGGGGGAATTCAATCCACGGAGACCTGAGAAAACAATTAGCACTCTGAGATTGAAGTTGGCCCGGGGAAAACCTGGCAGTCGGAGAGGAGAGTGGAGGGGAGTCAGCATGCTGCCGAGGCACTTTCATTTCAGACTTTCAAACAATCAAATATGCAGCGTCGTGATCGTCTTCATCAGTTGCACATGAAAAAAAAGCATACATCGAAAAACTTAATATGAAACGGAGTTTCTAAATACATTTTAAAGTTAAATCTCAATATGGTGGTTCAAAAACTCATTTTGGAACCATGCTTGTATTACTTAAGCCCCCGAAAAATGTTATACTTGTAAATAACTACTAATAATTTAATGGTTTTCTGTCAGAAAAGTAAAGTAAAAAAACGAACCTCTTTAATTATTTAATTGATTTAAAGTAATTAAATTAACATTTTTTTTTAAAGAAATTTACCAATTGTGTTTTACTAATCATTCATGAATAATGGTGTTTTCTAGTTTAATGGTCAAATCTCTAACAACATTTCGGTGTACCCCATGCAACTTAAAAAAATCTTTGATTTTGTCTGCGCATGCCTTGAGCAAAATTGAATTAACCACAGACACACTCAAACACTGATTGCTACTAATGTCCGATACATCTGACCCAAACCCATAATTAAACGGACATCCCCAACATGGCAAACAAATCAAAATCCAAGCACACAAAGGTCATTGCGCCACCAGAGCCAAATCATAAAACTATATACATATATCTAAGAGGTATTCAACACTGAGATCTAGAGGAAACTAATCTCCCTCTACGCTTTTTGTTTCACTTTCTTCGCACTTTGTTAATAATTTGCATAAATCACTTCCTTGGGGCGCCCTCCGAATGCCGAATAAAAAATTATTCGCGCTTGTATAATTAATTATTTCAATAGCGATATCAACAATTCCAATTCGCGCGGTTACATCACGAGCGTCAGCCTTTTGTGTTGCACTGAACGGATTATCAGAAAGGCCACTTTGCATACCGTCATAATTTATTGTTATTAAATATTGCAAAGAGCCAATTGCAATCGATCGAATCGTTGGCCAATTCGCACACACGCGATGATGAGCTGCGCATGCGTGGCGAGCGAATTTATTATTTTCGAATGCTAGCGCGACCGCGCGCTTTGCCTGCAAGTTTTCAACTGAAAACCGCTGCACGAAGTGGCCGCCGAGGCTGAGTCACGATAAACAGAAAAAAACCTCTGAGCTCGAGAGAGAGCGTTTGCCAAGCTTTGATTTTATTCGTGTTTTGTGAGCCGGCTTCTTCTCTTTATCGGCCATATCGCATGCGATTAAGACCAGACGCTCGCATGCGATCGCCCACCTGCTGCACTTTTGGCCACCGACTCGGTATTGCCATTTCAAAGCTCCTCGAAGTGTAAATAAAATCAAAACATGTGTTGCCCAACTCATTAGGCCAATTTTGGTATTTCAAGTCGTAGCTGCGGTCTCGCTTTTGGCCTGGCCAAAAGTAAGTCACACTGCGGTCGACAGTTTTTACACAGAAAAATTATAATAAACAATTTAATAATTTTAAAAAGAATTAGCAGCGATTGGGAGCTATAATTCATACCTTTCCATAATATACTTTATAAGGAACATTTGAAACAAACAAGTCTAAAGTTAGAAAAGTTGTTTTTAACTACTTATACAATTGATTGAAAAAATAATTCATTTCAGTTGTACAATTAATAACCATCTCCATATTTAGCATCATTGTGATTTATATTTTTAGATTAAATTAAAAAGCAACGATACTGTTTTATGTTTTAAATATAGGGTTGTTTAGACCAAAACAATAATGATAACCATATTAAAATTGTATTGACACACTTTTCTAAGAAATTTTAAAAAATTTCTGCAGTGCAGTCTGTGACATCGGAGACTTGAGCCCAATGCGATCGTAGTTGCAGAAACACACATCCAGCTTTGTGGCACGGATCGATTTCCTTTCTGTTTCGTTTATTTGGTCTAATTGCCGCCGCTGGCCATTAACTCCCCCATTGTTGGTCCCCTGTTCCCTCTCTCTCTCCATTTTTTTGGAGCGTCTTGTATAGCAAATAGTTTTCCTTTTGCATGTTTACTTTTCGTCTCCGTTTTCAGGCAATTTGTTGCCGCTGTCGAATCAGTTGTTTGCAAAAATGTAGACATCAAAATGTTTATTGTTTCTTTTGCATCCAGCATTTGCAGTTGCAGTTGTACAGTTCGTGATTTTCTGCTATTTTTCTCTTTGGCATTTTTTGCATATTTGCAGAGCAATTAGCATCAAAGTGAAGTCGGAACTGTGAATAAAGAAAACCAGCAGAAGATTTCCTGACGTCACCAATTCTGCCAGAGAATTTGCCATGCAAATCGTACAGCAAGTAGATCAAAGCGAGGAATATGTGCTAAAAATAACCGCAAAGCAACATAAACAAACAAACGGGGAAATAAGCTCAAATATGCAACGAAATTTTGCGCGGGGCAGGCCAATAAAATGAGAGCAATAATAACTTAAAGAATGCCAAACACATAAACGTATATATATCTACGGTTCCAGATAAAATATACATATATATCTATATATATCGCAAACACAGATAGACCTTAATCCATATTCCTTCTGTTTGTTAATAAGATTTTATAAGCAGTATGGCGACACGACAGCTTGTGCTTGTATAAAACTCTCTAGTTTTGAAGCTTTCTGGATCCAATATGTCTTCTTTCTATTGCAGGTATTATATAAGTCGAAACGAACAAGATCGAACTTTTAGTATAGCTGCCATTGGCTGAAAGTTGTATAGGAAAACGGTAAGTCTATAAAAAATAATTTAATGAAGTAGACTCCCATTGGGAATACCTAGTCACCTGCCCAACTCCAGATTTTTTTGCCAGTCGGACTAATTAAAATTTGAAAATTCCAATTAGCATTCCAATCAATCCAGAGCTACAGTGATCATACAAAGGCCTAATTAGGCGCAAGTGAATATGACGAAGATATTCCATAATAGGCGCAATAAAGGGTATATATATTGAACACTGGGCGCCAAAAATGAGTCTTCCCTCATTCCAACGCAAAAAGTTCACGCAACACTGACCTCACACACACATATACAGACAAACCCCCACTCACACAGATACATATGGAGTATAACGCCCACGCATGTTGCAATATACAAACAAACAAACAGTGGGTGGTGGGGGGAGCTTTGTGGCGCCTACGTGTGACGTCAGCGCACGAACATTTTTGCCGACGACGCAAAAACTGACCGAAAGAAAACAACAACAAAACCATTACTACGAACGGAAATCCATAACAAAAACTACGATGCGCCACGCTTCGGTTATTGCCTTTAATTACTACTGTGGTTGTCGTTTTTGTTGTACGCATTGGTCATTCATGGCCCGATTGTTACCTATATATGTATATATTTATATATTTTTTGTGCGTATATGTTTCCTATTCAAAAACCAAGCCAACAACAACAAAAATTTCGCGCCGTAGAGTTGTAAAACTTGTTTTTGTTTTCGATTTGATTCGAACCAAAATGCGTAGTTTTTTGTGATTTTTATTATGATTATTTTTGCTTTTTTTGGGATTTTGCTTTCGTTTGAAGACAACTAGTTGACCTCAGACAACAGCATTAAAATACAAATATAAAGAAGCTGCAAATTGTTGACCCAAAAATAGGCAAACAAATACAGTAAACACTTTGTTATGTGCAATATTGAAAAATAATGCACTGCTACTTTTTGTTGTTTTCTTAAGTCATTCTTTTGTTAGCACTAAAACTAAAATGTGGGTTTAAACATTTCGAATTGTATATTGATAACACTTGGCATAAAAAAGCATATTAGTGATGAGCACTCTTCTTTATTTTCGCATTCTTTACTAATTCGTTTTTGGATTTAATGAGTTCACTGCCTCGAGTGTTAACTGTCTGCTTTTACGGGTATTTCTTTATTTGTTTCCTTTTTCATTTTCATTTATAATTATCATAATGAAGAGGCAAAGTTTTATGCAATATTTGTTTTTCATTGTTGGAATTGTGCAATGCTTTTTGTGAACTGTTTTTTGGTACTTTTTTATTTGTCGAGTTTCGATATCCTTTTTTCGCAAGCTTTCGTCACTTTCACACCCACACACACACACGGACACAAACACTTACACGGCGACAAGTGTATTAAGGAAGCAGACAGCGCGACGCTGCAAAAAAAGGGCGTTGGGCGGAGTCCTTAAAACGGGCTCAAAAACAACTAAATAGAAAAACGTTTTACCAGAACCATATGACTTACCAGATTTACAATGCTGTTTTTCTGGATTTCAACTAGAGTTGTTAATATTTGTTGGTCTGTTTTGCTTTGTTGTTACTGTTGTTGTTGTTTTTGCTTCTAGTTAACATTCCAATCCGACGCTGCTGCGCTGCCGACGTCTCTGCTTTCTGCGCTGCCTGTGCTGGCGCTTCAAGCCATCAGCCACATGTACATTTCATTGGAATTATCACGCATATATAATAAAGGTGTATCTTGATATATTTATAAACATTTGCACCACCTTTCCGATCCGATATGTGGAATATAAATACACATAGACACTTGCACAAGCACTCTTACGCACACACACACGCGTAATGTGACCAACAACTGGCTGCTGGTTTTGTGGAATTTCAGATTCTGTTCTCCTTGTTTTCGGCCCTCTTCCGTTGATGCTGATGCATATCCGCACTTGCATCCGATTCAGTTCAGCCCACTCATGGCGTTTGATTATATTTCGATTGCTCAAACAGTCCGCAGCACCAGCAATTTTAATTTAAACAAAATATTCACACGAGAGCAGAGCGGCCATCTTGCGCTAGTGTTGTTCAATTTTTTTTTGCTGCTCTGCAGTGTGACCAGTTCGCGGCAGTGCTAGAATGTTTACCATTCCTTTTGGTGCAGTTTAAGCTTCTTCACGTCATTTCTAGCTACATTCTGTTTCTAGCTATATTTTCAAGGATAAAATGTTAATTATACACAAATTTTAGAAAGTATTTCGATTAAAAACAATTTTATGCTCGTTAAAGAAACATCTGTGCAATCAAGTACTCATCCATCAGCAAAGTGAATAGAGAGAATACCCTACATGTCTATTATTTACTGAAATCTGCAGTGAAATTAAAAGCTCTGGTCACACGGTTCCACACGTGCAATATTTACGAAATATGCGCAATCTAAAGCTGCAATATTGCAAGGAGCTGGATGCAGTGGCTCATCCTCGGCAGCTGCTTCTGCAGCCGGAGTTGAATGGCGACACCTCGGACAAGTCCTTCGTGGTGGCCGATAACAAAATCTACGTCGTGCAAGAGTCTGGAGATATCCGGCCAAAAGTCATTGCCGATCTGCCGGATATTGTGGGTGTGGAGTTCCTGCAGCTGGATAATGCGATCTGCGTTGCCAGCGGAGCGGGCGAGGTGCTCCTCGTCGATCCTCAGACTGGATCCACCAGCGAGGGCACCTACTGCGACGTGGGCATCGAGCGCATGGCCTGGTCGCCAAACCAGGAGGTGGTGGTCTTCGTGACCCGCACCCACAACGTGGTGCTGATGACAAGCACCTTTGACGTAATTTCCGAACAGCCGTTGGACGCGGAGCTGGCGGCGGATCAGCAGTTCGTCAATGTGGGATGGGGCAAGAAGGAGACGCAGTTCCACGGATCAGAGGGAAAGCAGGCTGCCAAGCAGAAGGAAGGTGATTCCACCGTCAACCAGGACAACCAGGATCTTAACCAGGTAACTTTACTCTACAATAATTTAAGAGAACACAGACTTATCTTTTATAATACCCCTCAGGATGTTAACATTTCTTGGCGCGGTGATGGAGCATTTTTTGTGGTCTCCTATGTGGCCGCCCAGGTGGGTCGCACCTTTAAGGTCTACGACTACGAGGGCAAACTCCATCACACAGCCGAGAAGAGTGCGAATCTGCAGGAGGTGGTGGCCTGGCGACCGGCCGGGAATTGGATTGCTGTTCCCCAGAGTTTCCCCAACAAGTCCACCATTGGCCTTTTCGAGAAGAATGGCTTAAGGCATCGCGAGCTAGTGCTTCCCTTCGATCTGCAAGTGGAGCCTGTGGTTCAGTTGCGCTGGAGCGAAGATTCGGACATTCTGGCCATTAGGACAGTTACCAAGGAGGAGCAACGGGTCTACCTGTACACGATAGGCAACTACCACTGGTATTTGAAGCAGGTGCTGATTTTTGACCAAGTGGATGCACTGGCTCTGCTCCACTGGGACACGCGAATGGGAGCCGAACACACACTGCACATTCTCAAGGAGAGCGGCAAACAGTTTGCCTACCGCTGGGCCTTCGCCGTGGATCGTTACGAGCGAAGTGGCGTCGTGGGCGTCATCGATGGCAAGCGGCTATTGCTTACGGATTTCGCCAGGGCCGTAGTGCCGCCGCCCATGTGCCAGCGCGTCCTGCAGTTGGACAACTACATCAACGCATTCACCTGGTTCGAGACCAGCTTGTGCGTATACACCTGCGACCGCAGGCTGCACTCCTACGAGCCCATGCAGCAGTTGAGCGGCCAGGAGCCACAGGCCTGCCTACTTATGCCGGATGCAGAGCTTTCACGGCTGCCCCTGGCCAATCTTACCTACTTTTCGTGTGACTACCTGCTGGCTACCCACAGCTCGGGAGGATCCACGCGTTTGATGCTGCTAAACAAGGATCCAGACGAAGATGAGATCAATGAGAAGGGCGAGCTCTGTTACCGAGTGCAGAGCTCCCTGCGGATTAATGGGCTGGTGAACGCCCTGACCATTGGCGCCAACGCAATGGATGAGTTCTATGCGCAAACAGTGAATAATGGCCACACCTATCAGGTGTCTCTGAAGTCAGACAATACGCTCAAGGTGGAGCGATCTCATGTGCAGTTGACTCAGGCTGCTGACCAGATCGAGTGGTTCACCATCACCAGTGACTCTACAGGTGCCTTAAACTATCCTACTTTGATTGTTTCATGTTTTAACTCAATTCCCATGTCTAGGCGGTCTTATTACCCTCCGCAATCAACAGCTGCTTCATATGGATGGCCATCGCATTGCCGAGGACGTCACTTCCTTCTGTGTGGTGGGTAACTATCTAGCCTACACGCAGCTCAATGCGCTGCACTTTGTTCGACTGAAGGATCGCCGCCAGGTCGCTAGCAGGAACATTGAACGTGGCGGCAAGCTGGTGACGGCCGTGGCCAGTGAGGCCCGTGTTGTTCTGCAACTACCGCGCGGCAACTTAGAAGCCATCTGCCCGCGTGTCCTCGTACTGGAATTGGTGGGCGCTCTGCTGAGCAGGAAGCAATACCAGGCGGCAATGCAAATGCTGCGCAAGCAACGCATTAACCTAAACATCATATGCGACCATAATGTGGAGCAGTTTGTGGCATCTGTGAATATCTTTTTGCGCGAGATTAAGCAGAGTCAGTGGCTGTGTCTCTTTTTGAGTGAGTTACAGAACGAGGACTTCGCTAAGGGCATGTACTCCAGCAACTATGAGGCGGCCAAACAAACCTATCCGTCAGACTATCGGGTGGAGCAGAAAGTGGAATATGTATGCCGGCTGCTGGTTCAGTCCATGGATCAGGCCACTCGCCCAGAGGACGTGGAGCGCTTCCGCTTGCCTATAATCACTGCCTATGTAAAGTTGGGTCGGTTGGAGCAAGCTCTTCAACTCATTTGGCGGGAGAAACAGACGAATGCCGCCCTGGCAGATCAGCTACTGAAGTATCTGCTGTATCTAGTGGATGTGAACGAGCTGTATAACGTTGCCTTGGGCACCTATGATTTCGGACTCGTCCTGTTCGTGGCCCAAAAGTCGCAAAAGGATCCCAAGGAGTTCTTGCCCTATCTCAACGAACTGAAGGCTTTGCCCGCAGACTATCGCAAGTTCCGAATCGATGATCATCTTAAAAGATACTCCTCGGCTCTTTCCCATTTGGCTGCTTGTGGAGAGGAGCATTACGAGGAGGCTCTGGAGTTCATTCGTAAGCATGGCCTATACACAGCTGGGCTGGCCAGCTATCGGGGGCACATTGAGTTCCACAAGAGCATATGCGTGGCCTATGCTGATCACCTAAGGTCCAATGCCAAATTGGATAACGCCAGTCTCATGTACGAACGCGGAGGACAGTTGCAGCAGGCGCTACTCAGCGCCAAGCACACGCTTGACTGGCAGCGCGTCCTAGTGCTGGCTAAAAGACTGGGCGAACCGCTGGACCAGGTTGCCCAGTCGTTGGTGGGATCGCTGCAACAGCAGGGTCGCCACATGGAAGCCTATGAGCTGGTGAAGGAGCACGGCGGTAACCGGGATCGCCAGTTGGAAGTGCTGCTAGAGGGTCATCTCTACAGCAGGGCCATCTACGAGGCGGGTATGGAGGAGGGAAATGCTTTGGGTGAGTCTATCATTACACCCAAATAATTTTAAATAACGATTTATTTTATTTTAGCAGAGAATATTGCCCCCGCTCTGCTGGCTTATGGCGCTCAGTTACAAAACTCCCTGCACGCCGACTTGCAGCTCTTCCTGGAGTACAAGCAGCGTCTGCTGGACATTCGCCAGCGCCAGGCAAAGTACGGGGAGGGGGATAACGATGCGGATGTGGACCTCGAGGAGGTGGACTTGCTGTCGGACACCACCAGTTTGCACTCCTCGCGCTACAGCGGCACCTCGCGGGGCACCGGGTAAGCCAATGGATGCTCCACTGCACCCGGCCAAAGTTTCACTTTTCCACTCTTTTCCTCCTTTTCAGCAAGACATTCCGCTCGAGCAAAAACCGACGCAAGCACGAACGCAAGCTGCTCAGCTTGAAGCCGGGCAACCCCTTCGAAGACATCGCGCTCATTGATGCGCTGCACAACCACGTCACGAAGATCGCCCAACAACAGCAGCCTGTGCGTGACACATGCAAAGCGCTGCTTCTGCTCGCCGACGAGGCGGTTGGGGATCCCCTGGCGGCGTCACTGCAGCGTGAATTTAAGACTCTGCTGCAGGAGGTGGAGGCGGCGCTGGACGAGATCTGGACACCTGAGCTGGTGGGCAACGGATCGATGGCACAGCATCTTACGGGACCCAATGTGGACTACTTGGCGCTGCAAAAGGAGCAGCGCTATGCCTTGATAAGTGGGTATTATTTTACTTAACCTTTTTGCCTAGTTTCATTTCTTTTGATCCTGAAAATGTAATTTCCAAATGGACTTCTGATATTATCTCCGCAAAATTCCGAGTATTTTTTAATAGTCAAAATTGGAGTGTTCAAATTAAAATATTTCTAATAGTTCAAATTTATTCTGCTCAAATGAGTGATACAAACGTTTTAAAATTAGAAAATTGTATCCTAAACTATAACCAAGGCTAAAACTTAAGACTATTTTAAGTTACCCTTGAAATAATTACTTGTCGAAACACAAAAACCACCTTTACCAACTTGTCTAATGGAATAATTAAATTTGTAGGTCCCCTGAAGCGCTTCAAGCCACAGCTGAATCTGATGGACTGGCAGCACGAGATCCTTCAGTGAGTCACCGATGGATGGATCATTGGATTTGCGTGCAGCTCTCATCCTCCCCCAATCCGTTATCTTCTTACCCATCCCACTGTTTACTTTCACTGCTCTGAAAATAAAAGTAGCATTGAAATGCTAATTGAATGGATCAAATTAAACCAAACGAAGTCGCTGCAGTGGGCAGTTGAGTGCCAGTCCAGTGCCAGGCAGCTGGCAAAAGTGGGCGGGCATGTCTCCCAACTTCGTGTTTGATTTGAAGCTATCTCTTTTATTAGGGGGCGTCGGCTCTTACTTATCATTTACATTCAGCTACGCCCTTTATATTCGTTTTTCGGAAAGAAAAACATATTTCCTGATAGTTTCCTTTTGCTGTTGCAGTCAAGCGTTTTGTTTGCCAAACAAAAACCGTAGTAGGTTGGAACCGGTTTCACCTGTCCGGGATTTGTTGTGGGCGCCCATTGTTGCCAGGTAGACGTGGAGAGAACATTGGAGCAAACATATTCTTGAAAGGAAAACAAATTATCTGTTCACATAAAATATAAATGGAAAATATATGCAAGGTTTTTAACTATAGCACAGAATGTTCAGTGTAATAACACTTTTAAATTTAGCAGAGTCGACATTTTAAAATTACTTAAATAAAATTATCTTTAGTATACCAACGAATTTTAAAAGTTTCATTGACAAAAATTTACTTTAAAATCATGAAGTAAATGTATAACCTAAAAATGTTTATTCAGTTTTTGTACATATGGTCTTTTGTAATTAAAGAATAATAATAACCTGACAAAAAAAGTTCATTTAAAGTAAAAATGCAAGTTTGTCAACAGTTTTAGGTTTACAGAATACAGCATCCATTGGTTGTTAATACACCAGCAGCCTGATTTGTTTATTTTAGTTACAATTAATTTATTAATCTTTAATTATCCACTTGTACCCATAATTTGCCCATCAGCATGCAAAAAATGTGCACTTGCATTTTTCTGTTAACGCGCTGTTAAAATATCGCTTCTAGACATGCGCAGCATTCTGTCGACAGCGACGTCAACGTCAGCGCCGTCTGCTCAGCTTACAGTGGGACATTGAAGAAATCTAGCTTTGAGAATGTAATGGATTTAAAACTAATGAACATAAGGTAATTGCAGTTAAAACTTGCATTAATTATTCTTTCGTTTTCAAAAGAATAAATTTAATAGTAATTTTGTTTATTTCATAAAAAATTTAAAATATTTTATTCGCTATGGTTATTAAGAAAATACTTAAATTTAAACAAACTTTTGTAAAATTAAGCTAAGACACTAAATTAAAAAAAAAAAACACGCTGTGGGGGTATTGGCTGAGGAAAAATAAAAATTAGTTTGAGGAGCGTTGAAATTGTAAGTCTAACCTTTATCTAGCTAGATTGGTTAAGCTACCCACTGTGTCGCTCCAGCACGCGCTCTCTATCTCTCTCTCCACGGCCGCTACCTGCGTCGCAGTCGCTGCGAGCTCCGCTACAGTGGAAAACGCCAAATTATTAAACAAAAAATCATCGAACGAGTCGGACGTGCGCGCTGCTGGATGCTGGCGGTCTTTTTCGCGTTCCGTTTTTTTTGGAGTAAACAAACACACAAACAATATTGTTAACACAATTTTGTCTGTTCTATTGTGCGGAAATCGAGTTAGTGAGAGGGGAAATAAATAGAAACCGCAAGCAAAAGCAACAAGCTTGTGGGAAGAGGAAAATGAAAGGGGAAATTGTCAGTGTGTGTGTGTTAGTGAAATATGGAAATTGAAAATGCAATTAATCGCGAATTAATGGCAAGCCATAGAAATCGCTCAATGGTTTAAAGTGCAAGAGAAAATTGTGGTTTTTGCTATTGTTGTCAACGCGGAAGCCAAAAGTCTGTCGTTAAAAATATACGTGTATTTATTTTCGCTTTGCAAAAACAATAAGCCTTACAGCAGAGTGCTGAAATAGTCAATTTACAATTGGAGCTGCCGAGAAGTCTATACATAAAACATAAACATTTTGGTAAGTCTAGCTTTAGTCTCTTTGGGCTCTGCGGCTCAGATCGGCTCTCCGCTCTCCACACAGACAGAAAAATAGATATGAGATGATGACCAGTTTATTATTTTTAATATAACTATACTTAAATTCTCAAAGTTCAAAAGAGTATTTGCTGAAATGAACTAAAGTTCCTTAGAATCCGGTGAGACTTGATCTTGGTTACTAATATCCTTTTACTATATTTTATTTGTAATCTTGTTAACCAAATTCAGAATTCCTTTTGAAATAACATTTGTCTCATATCGTAATATTATTAGGCTGTAAGTATATTTTGCAATGGCGCATATAGAATTTACGGAGCTGTTTTTTTTTCTGTGCATATTTCGCTCTCGGAGAGTGGGGATCACGATACAGTGGTCAAACCCGCAAAACGACTTTCAACATCATTCGCCTCCTTGTTGTTTTTGCTTTTTTTCGGATGTTGTTGCTGTTTTGGTTTTTGTTGCTGTGATAGCTTTGTTGTAGTTTGTTTTTCTACTTCTGACTTGCTGCTGTTTTTTCTTTAATTACGCTATTGTTATAATCACATTTGGTTTTGTGCGCGCCAGGGAATATCGCACTAACTTAATATTCGCACATGTGGAAACTTGGCAATTATTTTTATTAAATGTGCCATAATATTTGTCCATTGCGAAAGCGTTCCCCAATCGTAAAACTTGGAATTTGGAAAATAAATTTACGATCTGCACCAGTCCCATTGGATATTATAGAAATGTATTATGAAAAGAAATGTGCCATAAACATTTTAAAAACGTTTTAATAAAGCAAACTATACTGAATTTGAAATACTTTTGATGAAATATACATATAAAGGTTTTTAGTTCTTACCCCACAAAAGCAGTTAATGCTAAAACAGTAAAAAGTATTTTAATTTTTTAATTTGAAGCCGTTCATATACTAAAATTGGTTCTGTATTATTTAATTAAATTTATTTAACTAGATGTCAGGTATTAAGGGTTATTTTTATGTTCAGTTGTGGACTTTAAAAAAAATATATAAGCACGTTCGCCCCTGCAGTTTGTTTTTAAAAACAGCAGTTTTAAACGGTCCATTTCAATGCCAATGGCATAACTCCCAAGAAACTCAGGTTTCAATCTTCTCGCCACCTGCAAACTTGCAGCAAACACCGGCGATGCGTTAACGAGAGACCGAGACCTCAAAGCTAAGCGATCCATTCAAGCCGCTTCAGAATAGTCCCAATCACATCGTAGTCAACATCGAAAGCTGCCGGCAAAGGCCGCAGACAGCAATTTAGAGGTTTCTTAGCCAGAGACGCCTCCACAGATCCAACAATTGTTGCAACTACAGATTGCGGATGACAAGCTTGCAAGTTGCAACCGCAGAACAAATGCGATGGCAAAGTCGTTTTGAATGCATTATGCATATGCGAACGGGCAACATAAATAGCAGGGTAATGGGGCCCATGGCTAATAAAGAAGCGTTTTGAATGCCAAATGAGTGGAGTCGACGAGGATGACGAAACATAAGTGATTTCAAAACGAAGGAGGAGCGCTGCCTAAGGTGTACAGAGAAAAAGATCACGATAATTAGCATAAATTTCAAATCATGTCAAAGTATATTAATCTTATGAAAATTACATTTTGTTTTACTATATAGTTAATAAAAACGATAATGAATTGTCAGCAGATCGTCAATGGAAAACTTTCTACATATAATGTATACAAATGTCTTAAGACGTGAAAGACTGGTAAAATATGCAACAAAATAATAATTTTTTTCTGTGTAACTTCCATGGAATGTGGTTGCCGAGAATCGGGGAAACCGGTCTCCTGCCGGTGCCCTATTGGATTGGCCTGGCTTGAGCTGATAGCGAAGGTCTCCGAGGTCTTAAACAGAGACGGAAAGAAAGAGCGCCAGTGGAGATCGCTGACTGTGAGTCACGTTCGGAGCCAGCTCCGATCGTCTCGAGACGTGCCTGGTTGTCTTTGACGGGCTGGCAAATGAGAATAGAAGTATTACTCTGCACCCAGTGCATAGTTTTGCCGACTGTACGATAATGAAAATCTTAGAAAACGAAGCGAATTCCGATTGCCGGAGGAAATCCTCTATTCGTTCATTACTGGCACGTACCTCTGGGATCTGGTCACAGCAATTAATGCTCTTATCGCTTGATGTGGTATTCATTATAAATATTTAAGATGCTTTGATCATCAGTACTCGCACCCTCTATTGAAAGGAGATGGCAAGGAGTAGAAATAGGCGTTGAATAATTGTTTAATTCACAATCTAAAGTTAAAAATCTTCTAAAGAAACATAAAATCTGTTTTCATTGTTTTGAAAAGTGTCATGACATTTACAGTAGCAAAAAAAAATTTAACGTTTATGTTATAGGTTACTCAAGTTAAAAAAAATTGGTATTAATAAAATATTAAATTAAAATTAGGGTAATTAAGAAGTTCACCGACAGCAAAATGTTCAGTAAATTTTCCAGTGTTACATAAATAAACATATTAAATCAGAAGCCTTATAAAAGCACATTATTTATAGATTTCATTTCTTTATAGAACGTGAGAGTACTTAAGTTTCTAGAATTAATTTGCAAGAGATTTCTTTAACCTGCATTGAACCAAAATTGAAAACTGGATATTAACCAATATAACTACAGATCTAGGCACCTCAGATCTGACCATTTGCTTAAGTTCCCGCTCCACTTTCTCGCTCATGTCCCCAATGCATCTCACTTCTTGCCGAGTCATAATTATACACCTTGGTGACTCAGAATCTGTCATTAAGGCAAAACTGCAGTTCAGTAGGTAACATACATATGGATGCCAGCCCCTCTTCCGCCCGTGAACCGCCCCTCTTCCGCCTTTCGCATTTTCTTCAAGAAAAACGGAGAGAATCCGACAAACAACTTGCCCTGCCAACTCAGAGACCTGACCTATGAGCTCTGTCTTTAGCACTCGCATTTAGTACTCACTCGTTTGGCTTTGTTTCTTTGTTGGTTTCTGCCCCACGTCTTCCATTGTTTCGACGTTTATCTCGCTTTTGGGGGCAACAGTTTTGCTTCGATTTGTGCGGTTTTATTTTTGGACCTACCTTGGAAACTTGTTCTGGCAATCGGAGAATGGAAAATGATCAGGGTTTCCACAACAAACAAAATAAATTACATTACTTAAGACCAATAAACTGTTATAGCCCCGATTCCCAACAGTGGGCGTCGAATAAAATAACTCAATTGAAAAGTCTTTGACTCTTGGCATTATACTTCACTTTTCACCCACTCCTCAGACTTGAGTCGGCTTAATTAAATTAAAACTTTAATTGTTTTGTTGACAGGTAGACTTTATGTCAATGAACTTAGTCTCAACTTTTGTGGCACCACCAGAAAAGGTATGGGTTTTAGTCAGGTGCCTTTTCCCTGGACCAACTGATACAGCAGCTCTTTCTTTCGCTACTGCCATTGTAATATTAATTCAATTCTAGACACTTGCCGGGTGAACAATCGCCAAACACTTGGACACTGATTGAACTTAATTGAATTAAGAGCAGTTTGCCAGTTACATCTTCCCTTGGGTCAGGCGTGCAGGAAGTCAACCTTGTGTTAGGTATTACAGTATTCACCAAATACACTAAAATTCACTAAATATGAAAACATCTATTTTATCTTTTAATAGAATCAAAACATGCTATTAACACAGTCAAATGATATATTTAAGCTTTAAACTTAAGTACCCGTCTAAAAATATACATTATGTGGTTTTGAATATAGTTAGCGAAATGGCAATTCAACATGTAAATGTTAGTTGACAAATAAAACAGAACAGAACGCGGGTTTGTAAATAATTTTTACGTCACTTTGTCAGCTGAGGGGTGTTCCCGTATAAGTTGGCAATTTATAGAGTAGCTCAAGGCAGCCTGCGAACTAGTTTTGCCTGCCTTTCATACAACTTGAAAGCCATTTAAGTTGACTTCGGGTTTCTTTTGGCATTTCCTCCACATAACCACAGATGTTGCCTCAAATGAGAGCATATGTGTGTTATTTATGCGCTTATTTGAGTGTGTGCTGCCACCTTCTGCATTCTTAATGCCGCTTTTGTGTTTGTTTACCTTTCGGGCCTGAAAATGTGCTTGCCAGTGCAATGCATTTGCCGTTTGTTTACGCCACTTACGTATCCGAAAGATACACAACTCTGGTGCCATATTTCATCATTTGGATGCCTCGAGCATCTTTCACATGCATTTGCATGCAAAGGGGGTCCCAATCATTCAACTGTTTTGCATACCAAATACTAAAAATGTTTAACCTTTTTTTTGCTGTAATATAGCGAATGATTTCAGGGGTTTTTCTGAGCGTTACTTGTTTTTATAGCACTTGGCCTTTGGGTTTGTTGTCTACAGAAGTTCTCGCTAAAGAAAACCTGTTTCTCCGATTCTTTGGTGTTGGGTCCGGTTAGCAGCGCAATCTTTTTTGACGTACTTTGTTTTTATGAAATGCTAATGAATTTATATGGGTTCGATTAAATACGAAATCAACATCGATTAACACTTGACATACAATGCAACTAATTCAACTATTTAACATTTACTTGGCTTATATCGCGCACTGGTAGTGGTAAAGTTAGCAAACCCAAGCTTTTCGATGTAGAGCGATCGTATGCCCCCTCAAATCCCTGTCTGAATTCCTGATTAGCGAAACTATGTTAATAAATTATATCCACAGACCTTGAACCCTGGGTGTTAGAGTTAAATATTGCACACAGTCTTCAATTAGCACGCAGCTTGGCAATGGGAGATTCGCGTGTTTGGTCGAGGAAACCCCGAAAAAGCGTTGACCCAAAAAGAAGGAAGGTAATATCCCTCGTATTTAATAAATTGTAAAAAAAAACCTAATAAAATGAAATGTCTATTTTTTTAAAATTGTTTTTTGCACTCTGAAATGAAAAAAGTTTTTACATAATTTTTGATTATAAAAACATTGACGTAGAAGTCACTTTTAAAAC